TAACTAGAAATGGTTTAACACCCAAAAGTCACAAAAAGCATCTCAACCCACAGGATAGGGTCAGATTGCCAGTGCCCTACCGTATGGGGCTCTGTGCCCTAGAAATGGTGGGTTCAGAGTGGCCACATGGCCATTTTAATTATGCCCAGCATGGGAGAGGCTTGAGACTTGAATAGCCCAAGGGAGCTAGTCAAACAAAATTTAGAACAAAATCAGTTCACTGACACAGATATTTACGGAGCACTTTCCACAGGTAAGACTCCCACCCATACAAATGCACAAGACAAGCTCGCTGGGCATGGGGATCAGGCAACAGGATGGGAAAGCTGAGGCACCCTCTCGGGCCACCTGTCTCAAAGAAGGATTTCAAAGAGCACACTCCATCTGGGGAGAGCAGCAAAGCTCCAGGAGGGGTGGCATTTGGCAGGGTCATCGCAGATGGTCACAGGCAGCAGCCAGAGCAGGAGCAGGAGAGCACACGAGGCCGAGGGGACTGCAAGGCCAAGGCAGGGAGGCGGAAAGCAGGGCAGCCGAAGGGTGGAAACCAAGTGGACGACCCTGGGAGGGCCTTGGACTCCAAGCTAGAGGGCTGGACCCTGATTCAGTGCGGGATCGGGGCACGTTGGTTATCGCGGAGATGGTGTGGTCAGAGCTGTTTGAGAGAGAACAGCCAGGAGGTTATTGGGCTGTGCAGGATTCAATGATCTGGAGCGACCTTTAAGTAAGCGATGAACTTCAGCAAGTAATAGGACACAGCCCCCACCAACACGTATGAGCAGCATTGAACGCCAAGCCCAGCCCTGCACTCCAGGTGGCCTGCCCCACAGTTCTCCTGGAGCCCTGATTCTTTTTGTTTAGCAGTGGGGTCTATAGCGCCACAGGGAGGGATCGACTGGCTCCTGTGAAAACTGTCCCCCAAACATGAGTAGGTGTTAGCAGCATTCAAATAGTTAGATGTTAAAATTACCTGGCCTAATCTTCTACCCTTTTAAGTCTATGGATGACAGTTTCCTTGAGAGGGGCACCTAGTTTCCAGGCCTTCTACATCCAAATAAGAATGCCCTCTAATTAGCTCCATATGACCTTAGGCAGTTTCACAGGAGTCAACTTATGGCTTCTCCCCTGAGATGGTGTCAACATGAGCATTCTCTCTGAGGCTGTATGAACTGGAAATGTAAGCAGGCCCTCGTTGGGTAATTTAGAGAGAAGTTCATGTCTTCTGAGCTGTAACAAAATACCACAGAAAGAGTGGCTTAAACAACAGATTTATTTCTCACAGTTGGGCAGGCTGAAAGTCCAAGGTCAAGGTGCCGGCCAACTCCCTCCCTCCTGAGGGCTCTGCTCCTGCCTTGCAGATGGCCACCTTCTTGCTGTGTCCTCGCATGGCCTTTTCTCAGTGCGTGTGATCTTTCTCTGTCTCTCCTTTTGTTGTTGTTGTTAATTCTTACCCGAGGATATTTTTTCCATTGATTTTTAGAGAGGAAAGAGGGGGGAGAGAGAGAGAGATCGATTGATTGCCTCTATTATGAGCCCTGACCTTGGCAGGGGATCAAACCTGCAACTCAGGGACGTGCCCTTGACCAGGAATCGAGCCTGTGACTCTTAGGTACATGGGCCAGAGCTCTAACCACTGAGCAACACTAGCCGGGGCTCTCTGTCTCTTCTTATAAGGGCAGCATGGGAGCTTTACCCTCATGACCTAACTACCTCCCAAAGACCCCATCTCAGATACCACTGAATTCAAGTTTAAGGTTTTAACATATGGATTGGGGCACAAGCATTTAGTCTCTAACAATTCCCATATGATAGACCCAGACTGAACAATTAAAGAGGATTTCGGGAATGCTTGAGTTATATTACTAAGCATAATAGTAAGAACTCTTGTGAGGTAGGGACTAGTATTGTCATTCCCATCCTGCAGGGAGGACACTGCATAACAAAGAGATGAAATCTCTTTCCCAAGACACACCGCTGGTAAGTGACAGAGCCAGGATTTGAACCACAGTAGCCCCAAAGTCCTCATGGTTAATGCAGCGTAATGCACTATAGCCATCCAGGTGGCCGGATGGGGCAGAAAACTGCCCTGTGGGCCTAAAGCTACTCCCTTGGGCTGCTGGCAAAGATGCAGTGCTGGGCCAGGGAGCAGCTGGTTTGACTCAGCGTGGAAATGGTTGGATTTTTAAGCTGTCCTTCTAAACTCAGAGGCAGGCAGTTGGTTTGACCTTGACCCAGCATGGAGATACTTATGTTTTTAAACCGTCCATCTGAACTCAGAGACTCTGCAGGAATGTAAGTCTAACTTTAGAGATATAGGAAGACATGCAATGCAACTTTTTGATTCATGTTAAAATTCACTGGATCATGAAAAAAAATGATCTTCTGCCTGGATATTTCCTTTTTTCCCAAGAGTTTGGTACAATCAACATCCTCAGAGACAAAACAATTCATTCACACTTCTCAGACTGGAGGCCCCTCAGAGCAGAAAGGACCATTTCAGCGTCCTCTGCCAGCACTCAAATAGCCCCTATAGGGATGAAAGGCATGTTCTCAAAAGCCAAAGCAAAATACAATGTGTGTCTGTGCTATGAGCCCCAGCTGGGCCCTGGGGTGCTGTGCACCGGGGAGGCCTCTCCAGACGGGCACTAAGAAGCCGAGGGAAAGATTGGGCGNAGCTGGGCCCTGGGGTGCTGTGCACTGGGGAGGCCTCTCCAGACGGGCACTAAGAAGCTGAGGGAAAGATTGGGCAGCGAGTCTGTTGAGCCTGGAAGCAGTGTCTACTGAGATTATTTCCTTTGCAGCCAGTTATTTGCCCAAGGTCACTGATCTCTTTCAAAGTCACTCTGTTGTGGGCTCTTCGCCAAGCTCCTTGGTCTACTTGCCAAACTCCTTGGTCAGCAGGCCTGGGGTGGGCTGGGGCGACGGGAAGCTGGCGCTGGCTGGGGCTGGGCTGTGCTGGCTCCCAGGGCCCAGAGGAGGCTGGGGGGCCCTCACTAATGCAGCTTCTCAGGGCTTCTCACCGGCAAAGGCTGTGAGCAGAGGTGATGGGTCTACTGAGAGGCGTCCTACCCCAGCTGTGCCTCGAGTCAAGCAATCACACTGCCTTTAGTCAGCCAGGGAGCATTTTTGAGCCCCTGTTTTGTGCCAGCACCATTGGCTAGACACACAAAAAGAAGACAAAGGCACCATCATCAAGGGCCATCCGGGTCAGTGGGAGGCGGCCTCTCCTTGGGGAGGAAACTGGTACAGCCTCAGTGGGACCCAGGCTCCAGCAGAGTGCGGTAGGAAGGAAGGTGCAGCTCTTTTCCGGACATTGATAAACTTCAACTTGAAAATCCCTGTTGTTAACGATTCCCCTTAGGGCCTGTGAACTGTGCTGACATCTCACCCTCCTTCCCGGGGCAGCTATCTGGGGATGGACTCGCTGCCTCAGGACCTGATGCCTCTGAGGGTGGATGCAAAGACCTATGCTGTCCAGAACAGTAGCCACGGCCACATGTGGTGGTTAAACTATTAAATAAAATGAAAAACCCAGCTCCTTCATTGCATGCCCACTTTCAAGCGTTCAGTAGCCACTTATGGCTGGTGGCTGCCACACTGGGCAGAGCAAACATGGAAAGAACACCTATCATTCCCCTAAGTTCTATTGGATATTTTTTTCTACATAGATCATTGCACCCGAGAGTGGGACACCCTGGGTGGGCTGTGGAAGGAGATGCCTAAATAAGCTGAGGTGAGGGGAGGGATGGCGAAGCCCACGGAGAATGAAAGAGCATCTCCAAGGAGTGGCATCTGAGCTGAGCCACTGTCTGAGGCTCTCTCTGAGCAGGCCTGGGGTGGGGCCAGAGAATTCACATTTCTAACAAATTCCCGGGTGATGCTGATGCTGCTGGTCCAGGGACCACACTTCGAGAACCACTGATATGGTCTAAAGACTCACATTCACTGAGTCATTCATTCGACAGGTTTTGTTTCATGCTGCCAGGTGCCCGGTGCTCTGCCTGGACGTGAGCGATGCAGGCAGGGCCCCTGTTCTGGGAGCTTCCATTCCAGGGAGGGGATACAGGCAGTAAGTGAACTTATGTGGGTTGGTGATAGATGTTCTGAAGAAGGACAACGAGGGCTGAGGGGAGAGGCCTTGCTGACAAGGTGACCTTTGAGCAGAGACCTAAAGAAAGCGGTGGGCTGAGGGCAGGGCATGACCCTGGTCTTTCTGGCCCTGTTTTGCTCCATCCTCAGCTTTTAATGTGAAAAGTGAGAGTCCTGTTAAAAAGCAAGATCATCAACTCTACTCAATAGCTGGGGTTTGAAGACGAGTTTCGTTGTGTGTGTGTTTCATTAGAAAGAAACATGATGCTAAAGGCCATAGATTTGACCCCAGCTAGTGGTTTCACCTTTGGGTCCCAGCCACCTGTGTCACACGCCTCTCTGCAGGTGGAGAGTCCCAGGGCTAAGGGGGCTGCCACCGGGAGCCTGTACCCCTCTAGATGATTCTCAGGATTGCCAGCCATATGGCTCCAGCCCATTTCCAGGGCCTGCAGGGCTCTTTCTTGCCCACCCTCCTGGGGCCAAAGGCGACTATGTGGGGGTGGGTTGGGTAGAACTTGGTCTGGGACCTGGGCTGTCCATCCATAGGAGGCTGAGGGTCCTACTGAGGAGGGATGGAGCTGCCCTAGGATGATAGGGGACCGGACCAGGCCAAGGGCTCTTGTCTTGGGTTCTGTGAACATCAGGAGCAGCCCCTCAGCCTGAGCCAACCAGCTGAGCACTCCTTGCATCTCTGCAGCTTTGAGGTCCGGATAGAAGAGAGGGGTCAGTCAGTCCACCTGTGCTGGGAAATGAGCATCCGCTGTCGGCATCAGGAGTCCACAGTCCTTCATCAGTGAGGATGGTGGATGGATGGGGTCGGCTCCACCCCCTCTATGCACAGAAGTCTTGACAATGAAGTGCAAACTGTGCCTCTAACACTGCATTTTTCTTTCCAACCTGTGATACCTTTTTAGGCCCAACTGTCTCAGGCCTTAAACGGAGTGTCCGACAAGGCAAAAGAAGCGAAGGAGTTTCTGGTGCAGCTGAAGAACATTCTGCAGCAGATCCAGGTGAGGGCAGTGGGTGCAGCAAGTTCACGAGAAGCATCCAGAAGAAGGGACAGTATGTGGCCAGCATGTCCTCAGCGATGCACACGAGGAGGTTGGCTTGTCCCACCGCACAGCCTCCTGGTGTGCAGACACGACACACTCGATCCCCCTACACTCACGCGGCACCTGATACGGGAAGGAGATTTTGCATCAACTCAGTGAGAGAGGATCACAGAAAGAGCTGGAAGGAAGTCATGCAGCCTCCTGCATGGCCACCTCATCTTACTTGGTGTCAGCCTATATACAATATTTGGTACCCATGTAATCAATGCACCAAAATGTAAATGCATCATTTACTAAATACGTGTGTTTATGAGCACTCACGCTATGTCACATCTTGAGCAGATGCAGATCAGAAAGGCACGTGTCTGGCCTCAGGAGCTCTGTCTGTAGGGGAGAGTGCACACGCATGTGCTTCATGTGAATGTGCACATGGAGGAACACACACACGGTGAACCATAAAGCGTTCCAGTGTCCGGATGGAGGAAAGGGACCAGGAGCCCCGGATCCTTAATCAGCCAATAAAACCGTCCTGCCCAACCAGTGGAAGCGAAGATTCAGCCACATGTCAGATTATGTTTCTGATGTTTGCAGACATGAGATGTATTAGTTTGGTGGGTTTGCTATATAACAAAGTACCACAGGTGGAATGTTTTAAGCAGCACGGATTTATTGTTTCATAGTTTTGGAGGCTAGGAGTTCAAGATTAAGGTGCCAGCAGGTTTGGGTTTTTTCTGAGGCCTCTCTCCTTGGCGTGCAGATGGCCATCTTCTCGGTGCATCCTCACATGCTCGTCCCTCTGTGTGAGTCTGTGTCCCAATCTCCTCTTCTTACAAGGACATCAGTCATGTTGGGTTAGGACCCACCCCAATGACCTCATTTTACCTTAATTACTTCTTTAAAGGCCCTGTTTCCAAATACAGTCACATTCTGAGGGACTGGGGTTAGGACTTCAACATAGGAATTTGGGGAAGGGACACAGTCCAGCCCCTAACAAGAGGCCTGAACTCATGCTGATCTTAAAGACCTAGAAAGATTTATTTTAGCTGAGAAAGACAGACCCTATAGCAGGAGCAGTGGGGTTTTTTGTTTGTTTTACTGCATTTTAATTATAAAAAAACAAAAGAATGTGTTGCAGAAATTGTGAAAAGTAGAGAATAGTAGGCACAACTAAGAAAAGTTCACCAACATCTCACCACCTGAGGCGACCACCTCCCCATTTGGACACACTGTTCCACTGCTCTAGAGCAGCAATTTCCCACCCTTTCCACTGCATAGCCCACGTAAANCACCTGAGGCGACCACCTCCCCATTTGGACACACTGTTCCACTGCTCTAGAGCAGCAATTTCCCACCCTTTCCACTGCATAGCACACGTAAACTATTTACTAAAACTCTGCGGCACACCAAAAGATTTATTTTTTGCTGATCTGACACAAATAGGTATAATTTTGATTCACACCAGACGGCTATTGTGTTGGCTGTTATCATTTCTTTATTTGCCAATCTAAGGGACAAGAGGTCAGTGGCCTTGACTATATAGTCAGGTATTGCATGTTTTAAAATTCTTGACGAAGCACCAGTACGCCGAGGCACACTGGTTGAAAATCGCTGCTTTGGACACATGTGCACACGCAATAAGATGTGATTACAAAGTACACAACTTGTAACCTGTTGTTGTTTTTTTCCTCTCATGAGGATTTCCTGTGACATTAAAAAATCTCTCTGAACAATGTCTGAATGACTAAGGAATATTCAGCTATAGAGATGTGCCAAGATGCATGGTTCCTCTCCCTTAATTCATATTTACACCCTTTGCAAATGTATAATGTTGCGGATGACTCCAGGACCATTGTCCCTGGCATACATCTTTGTGTCCAGCACCGGCCTTCTCCTGATGTCCTCTGCTTCCCGCAGGAAAACGGCCTGGACTACGAAGCCTGCCTGGTCGCTCAGTGTGACGCGCTGGTCGAGGCTTTAACGCGACAGAAAGCCAAGCTGCTCACCAAGGTCACTAAAGAGAGGGAGCACAAGTTGAAGGTAGGTGCCTGGAAGACCAAGGCCCCCAGTTCTTATTGCAGCCTCTGCACCCAGCGCGGTGAGTGAATGAATGAATGAAACAAGGAAGGGATGAGCAAGCTCTCCCTGGGCCCACTTACACTCATGTGATTTTCCCCAAAGCCAGTGAACCCACGTGCTCTCCTCCAAAGCCAGAGTCAGACACCCTGAGCCCTGCTGGTTTCTAGTCGGAAGGCCCCGNTCATGTGATTTTCCCCAAAGCCAGTGAACCCACGTGCTCTCCTCCAAAGCCAGAGTCAGACACCCTGAGTCCTGCCGGTTTCGGGTCCGAAGGCCCCACTCTCCTACCTTCTCTAAGTTCTTTGTTCTGCCTCAGGAACTCCTGCTCTATCCTGCAGAGCAGAGGTGACCGCTGATGGTGACGAGGCCTTGCTCTGCTCAGGCCTCCAGCTCTGCCCCCTTCTTTAGCCTGCCTCTGATGTGTCTTGCACTCAATAATCAGTAATAATAACACGACCCCCATCCAGCAAGGGGAGGGGGTTCCCCTCCCACGGCACTGGGTTCCTGGTCCAGGCAGACACCCCTGAGCACACTGCATTGACTAAGGGCTGCCTCATCCTGAGGCTCGATCTGTTCTATAGACATTTCCCAACTGAATCAGAAAATAGGACTTTCAAAGAAAGAAGGAATGAGTATTGGGGATGGTCTGTGGTTTACCAGCAAAGCAGCTGCACCCATCGAGTGACCCGAGACCAAGTGGGAAAGGAGACAAGCAGCGGGAGAGGTTCAGACTATGCGCTTTCTCTGCTCGTCTATCCAGAGTTTAGGACGTCTGCTCTGTTGGGTGTTGAGGCCCCTCGTGTTGGGAAGTGGGTCCATTTGCGCCCCAGTAAAGAGGGCACATGGAGCTCAGCAGCAGGTCACTAGGGATTCTTCCCCCGCAGATGGTTTGGGACCAGATCAACCACTGCACGCTGAAGCTGCGCCAGTCCACGGGGCTGATGGAGTACTGCCTGGAGGTGATCAAGGAGAACGACCCTGCCGGGTTCCTACAGGTGAGCCAGCTCCCGAGGGCACCAGCCGGGCTGGGCTTCCTCCCTCCAACTCCACCGCCACTTCCCAGCCTAGGCGAAGGTTTAGCACGGTCCCTTCCACCGGCCTGGAGCTGAGTGGTCGTTTGCTCAAGGGTTCCAGAACACCCAAGGTCTCCTCCTGACCCCCTCTCACTAGCTGTGACCTTGGTTCTGTTCATTATTAAATGAGCAGGTCAAGTGTCATCATCTCTTGGCCCAAAGGCCATGCTTTTATGCTTTGATTTTCAGACACCCCAATGCAGCACTTTCCCCACCAATGGGAAAGGACAGACTTTGCCCAGCAAGCTGGAAAGAAGTGAGTTAGCAGAATCCACATGGCTTGAACCTCAAGGCTGCAGCGTCCTGCAGGCCTGGACAGGTGACTGCCGCCAGGCTAGCTCAGGGTCACGAGTGTCTCTCAGGCACATGGCAGTGATTCAGACTGCAGCTCAGCCCTCCATCTGGAGAAAATGATGAATCCCCTTGCTTAGTTCCCAAAATGGGTACATGGCCTCACAGCTCTAAAGGGAGACGTGCCAAGTGTCTGAATGGGCAGGACTTTCCGGCCCAGGAGAGCAGGGCTCTGGGTGTGACGCACAGAGAAGCTGGAGCAGAAGCTGCGAAATAATTTGGAGGAAACACGGTTCGGGGGGGTNATGCAGCACTTTCCCCACCAATGGGAAAGGACAGACTTTGCCCAGCAAGCTGGAAAGAAGTGAGTTAGCAGAATCCACATGGCTTGAACCTCAAGGCTGCAGCGTCCTGCAGGCCTGGACAGGTGACTGCCGCCAGGCTAGCTCAGGGTCACGAGTGTCTCTCAGGCACATGGCAGTGATTCAGACTGCAGCTCAGCCCTCCATCTGGAGAAAATGATGAATCCCCTTGCTTAGTTCCCAAAATGGGTACATGGCCTCACAGCTCTAAAGGGAGACGTGCCAAGTGTCTGAATGGGCAGGACTTTCCGGCCCAGGAGAGCAGGGCTCTGGGTGTGACGCACAGAGAAGCTGGAGCAGAAGCTGCGAAATAATTTGGAGGAAACACGGGGCGGGGGGGCGAGCTTCCAAATTCTGGGGATATAGGAGATGCGTTCTTCAGATCCTGTGACAAACTACTAGTCTTTTCACTTTGCAAAGTACTAGATCTAGCAAAAGGGGTAGAATAAAGATTACTTTTGTGTATTTTTTTAAAGTGTCATTTGTTTCACAAAAGAGTTTGGCCTAATTTCTTTAAATAGCCAGTGCACTTCACATTTAACATGATCGAGCCTTTAAAATATGATTTAAACAACACAGTGCATTTGCACTTGCCTGGTGTCACACTGGCAGGGGTCATTTCCTCTCCTCCAAGGCTTGAGCACGAGCTGAGCACAGCCCCTTCCTGTCCCTGAGCACAGAGACAGAGCCCCCGCTCCTCCCTCACCATTTGCTGCATGAGTTTTCCTTTGCAAATCAAAACCCTAACCTCTGTGCTCCCTTTCAGATCTCGGATGCCCTGATCAAGCGTGTCCAGGTGTCTCAGGAGCAGTGGGTCAAAGGCGCCCTGGAGCCCAAGGTGTCCGCGGAGTTTGACCTGACCTTGGACAGCGAGCCGCTGCTGCAGGCCATCCACCAGCTGGACTTCATTCAGATGAAATGTAGGGGTGAGCCGGGACTGGCCGTTTAGTCCACGCTTCTTTCAGAACAGGTGTCCCCTCTGCAGGGCAGCTTAGTGCCCCTAGAAGACTGTGATCCTGGGAGGGAGACCAAGTGGACAGGGAGGGACGCCCACACCACAGACCTAGCTCAAGTCCCAGCTCAGCCACCCACTAGCTGGGTGACCTAGGGCAGGTAGCACCCTGGTCTGAGCCCATTAGTAAAAGGGGATCATTTGTTTGGTCAGAGACACTCATTGGTGTCTGCATGTGCCAGCCTGAGGACATAGCCGGGAACAACCTTATAAATTCCCTCAAAATATCAAGCTGATGTTCTAGAGAACAAAATAGACTACACACAAACCAATCTATAATATATTGTCTGTTAGTGGCAGGTACTTTTCTGGAAGGGGCCTCGGGGAGTATGTTGAGGTGAGGAGGAGAGAGATGCAAAATAGGGAAGACCATTCCAGGCCACAGAGGGGTGGCAAGTGCAAAGGCCCTGAGGCAGGAATAAATTTTCTGTGTTCCAAGATGAGCAAGAAGGGCAGAGGGGAGAGGAGAGGGAACCAGGTGGAAGGTGGTAAGAAGTGAGTTCAGAGAGCCATGGGGGACACAGGCTAAGGTTTATGTAAATTTTGCATAACTTGCCCAAGTGACAAAATTAGCCAGACCCAGAATCCTTCTCCAGAGGCATCAAGGGTATGCTCAGGAGAGGGAATAAAGCTGTCAGATTTCTTAACTCCAAATGTCAAAGGGCTGAGTGCCCCACCCACAGAATCTGTGAACTCTGGAAAATCCTCACCTGCAAAATATGTGGCGGTTTTTAAACTAAAGGAACAAGCCTCTCGCCCATCTCCATGCTCACCCCACATGCAGCTTGCACCTGGGGGAGGTTTGAAAATGTCAGGCGCCCCAGGTCTAAACGAGACGTGGTGCTGAGGGACAGGAAGGAGCCTGGCAGGTGGGGGCAGGAAGGAGGGGTGGCTCTAGAAAGTTGGGGTTCTGAAGGAGGAGGCTTGGAGCTTCTCCAGATGCTGCTCCAGGTGGATGGAGCTGTGGGATTCACAGAAGAAGGGGGAGAGTGAGTCGCAGGGCCCAGGGACAGAGAGAGGGCTCTTCCGTGCTGGTAAACTGAGGCCAGGGTCTCAGGCCGCCAAATTTGAAATCAGGCAGGGGTTGCACCCAGCTGAACTGTCAGGTGAAACCTGGAAGACGAGGCCCTCATACTTGGCCCCAAAATGAAATCTGTAGTTTTAACTGATGTTACAGTTTTCCCTTTTAAAAATGGCAGTGTGGACTGGGTTTACGTCTAAAATCTCTTGAGCCTGAACACAGCTTTAGAACAAAACATTCTCCCAATCTCGCCTTTATAGAGTTTCTGATTTGTTTGATTCAAATCCCTACTTCCATGGGCTGACTGTCCAATACTCCAGGGTTGCCCCTCTGTCCAGGGTCCGGTTCCCTGGGCCTTTAAAATGCTCCCACTGTGTTCTCCCTCTCGGGAGCACACATGCACCTTTCCCTCCCCTGTTTCCTTCCTCCCCAGGCCCGTTACCTTTGCCTTCCTCCCTCCTAAGCTCCAAGGGCCCTTCTTCTGCCTCCGTCACTTGTTTCCTGAGCCTACGCAGCCAAGCTGGCTCACTTCTACCTCTGTAACTTTCTAAGTAAAATTTCTCTTATAAAAAAATTAAATGCTCCCAGCCAAAGGCTTAAATGTGTCTTTGCATTTTACAGTCTCCCCCCAACCCAGCACCTTCCCAGCCTCAGGTGTGAACTGCATAATGTCCCCAGAGGGTCCCTGTGGCACATGGACGGAGGCCCTATGAAATCCCCACAGGCTCTTCCAGCCCAATGGTGGAAACCAGTGATTGTCAGCGGGTGGGTGGGGAGAGGACCGCCCTTCCTCAGAGGGGTGAGGCCCCTGCCGTGGCCCCTGAGATTCCTGGACACCCGTGCCTGCCCTCCAGCCCAGCCTGAGTCTCGACCCCAGGGTGAGGTGTGCACAGGACAGGCCGGGAGGGGCCGCAGGGTGGCCAGTGAGGAGTTCAGCCAACCTTCCTTCTCGGGGCGGGCCCCTGGGATGGATGGGGGGCCAGGGTGATCTGGTGCCTTAGGGGGGACTGTGCTCTAACGCTGGCCGGTCCCTGTCGCAGTGCCACCCGTCCCCCTGCTGCAGCTGGAGAAGTGCTGCACCCGCAACAACAGCGTCACTCTGGCCTGGAGGATGCCGCCCTTCACCCACAGCCCCGTGGACGGCTACATCCTGGAGCTGGATGATGGCAACGGGGGGCAGTTTCGGGTGAGCCCTGCTGCTGGTCTGGGGGGCCCTAATGAGCAGGACGGGAGTGGCTCCCACTGCCCCAACCTCCAGACCAGCTTAAGAGGCCCCTTAGCTCTGATGCCACAAGAGAGGGTATTGGCCCCAAGGACAGAGGGACGGGAGGTGCAAAGGCCCTGAGGCAGGAATAAGTTTTCTGTTTTCCAAGAAAAGCAAGAAGGTCAGGGGGTGTCTGGGCTCATGGGAGATGAAGGGTCTCTCTACCAAGGGCTAGGCCAGGGCAGGGCCTGCAGGCAGAGGTGGCGGCCACAGAGAAAACCCAAGAGGACCTACCGTGAGACTGACACAGGTCTGAGCTGGAGCAGAGCTCAGAAAAGATGTTACCTCGCACATACCTACCTCCCAGTTGACCCCAGCAGTCCAGCCCTATCTATTCTTCAACACCTCCACATCTCCCCCTCCCACAGCTCCCAGCCCCTCAAAGCTCTCTCATACCTCGCCATGCCTGGTTCACTATTTATTTTACCTGCCATGGTGTGTGTGGAAGACACTTGACAAATGGCTGTTGGATGAGGTGACCTGAAACACAGGACCCAATGATGAAATGTCACGGGGATAATATAGGCTCCGTGTGAGCCAGAAATGCATCTTCCACTCCCCCATCTGGTGGAAACCCCGGGACAGCCCCCACGCCAGCCCAGACCCCTACTAGAACTTACCTTGACATTTGACGCTCTGAAGTTCGAGTTACTGTAAGTGGTTTTGTGACATGAACACCAGGAAGCACAAGCTCTGGGTCTCCTTAGGGCTCCTGCTTTCTGTCCCGAGAAGCTGTTGTCATTAGTAACTTGGGAAAACAAATGAAGAGTAATCCCCCTCCACAGCCAGGCAGGAAAGGTGATTTAGACAGAGTAGGGACACCTGGGAGAGGTACAAGGGGTTTAAGTTTGAAGTGAATGGGGGTAAAAGTAAAACCCTAGAAAAGAATCTTTGGGGTCTGATACAGAAATGTCTCACCCTCCCGGAGGCCAGGACAAAAAGCAGCTGGAGGGTGGGGAAGGGGTGGGGGACACAAGGGAGAGGAGATGGGGAGGCCTGGAGCACCCCTCTCACTCCAGAAGCAGCTCCAGCCCGAATGCACTTGAACCCACTGGGCTTGATCACCCCCTTCCTCTGTCTGCATTTTCCCGTCACGTGGAATGATCCTTCTTATTAAAATATAGGCTATTTTGTTTATTTAGATGCTTAGCTCATTTGTCTAGCTTAAATTCCCATTGGAAACCAACAACCTTCTACTGTTCCATCCAAGAAGGGGGCGGGGTTTCTGCACCTCCATCCCCTGGAGGCCTGACGTCAAAGGGCTGACTCAGCAGAGGCTGTGTCCTGCTGACTGCAGACCTGTGGTCCCTCCCTGCCTCCCTAGGACCCGCCACAGCTCACAGCCTCACAGGCAGAGGGCTTGGTCGGCCAACAGTGAGGGTTAGTGCCCAACTGGGACGTGGTCTGTGCCCCTGCCACCACTTATCCAAATTCTTCTTATTCCATAACCCTAACACTTTTTAAAAATATATTTTTTTATTGATTTCAGAGAGAGGAAGGGAGAGGGAGAGAGAGAGAGAATCATTGATGGGCTGCCTCCTGCACACCCCCTACTGGGGATCGAGCCTGCAACCCGGGCACGTGCCCTGACCGGGAATCGAACCGTGACCTCCAGGTTCATGGGTCAACGCTCAGTCACTGAGCCACTCAGGCTGGGCATAACTCTAACCCTTTTAATGTTGCTGGGGGAGATTTTCCAGGTGACAGAGGTGCCTAATGAGCAGTCCTGGCTCTCTTTTAGGAGGTGTATGTCGGCAAGGAGACCCTGTGCACCATCGATGGCCTCCACTTCAACAGCACCTACAACGCCAGGGTCAAGGCCTTCAACTCCTCCGGCGTCGGGCCTTACAGTAAAACTGTCGTTCTGCAGACGTCCGACGGTGAGCACCGGGGTCTCTTGGGGGAGACAGATGCAGGCGCTATGGGAGAGCTTCCAGAAGAGGAGCCCACGTTTCATCCCACGGACCAGGACGACCACCACTGCTCAGGACGTAGCAGTGAGGGAGTGGAGGGAATGAGGTGGCAGGGAGGCTCGAGTCCCCCAGCTCCACCCTCCTCACAATCCATGAAAGACAGACATTCCTTCCCCCCATTTACTGGGCCTAGCAAAGGACACTAGCAGTTGAGAGACTCAGGGCATGAAAGTCCCACTTCCGAGGGACTCCGAGCAGGCAGGACAGTCCCAGAGAGAAGGCACACGCCAGCCCCGGTTCGAGCCTTCCTTGCAGCGGGAACCTGTCCCCTGAATACCTACTGCAGAGGTCAGATCTGGTGGCTTCCACACCTGGCTGTAGCCTCCAGGTTCCCGGTAACACGACCACATCAACAACGATGGGCTGAGCGCTTAGCGGGAGCCGTGACGTGAATAAGGAAGGCGTGCCCGAGCCTGTCCTGCTAACCCAGGCCACCCTGCCGGGCTGCAGGGGCTCCAGGGTGCGGACCCTGTGTTTACTGGCGTCATTTACCCTGGCTCATCCCCATTGCCGAGGAAAACAGGACAAGGCTGGATTGCCTCCGGGACGGGGAAGGGGGAGGACAGGAGCAGACGGTGTCATCAAGGGCACAGCTGCGATGCTNAGACGGTGTCGTCAAGGGCGCAGCTGCGATGCTTCTCTGCACACGGTGTGACCTGCAGAGACATTTTATAAACCACAAGGTCACTGGGCTTCTGCCCCGAGATCTCCTGGCCTGGAGACATGCAGACCTCACCCGGTGTGTTTTGGCCATAACTTTAGGGAGAGGCCTCACTTCCCACAACCGGATAGGCTGGGGGAGCAGAAGGGGGAGCCCCCGATGGGCTGTAAAACAGGCGAATGGAGCTTTGTGACTGGTTACATCACTTTCCCTCTCGTGTCTCAATGTCCACTTCCCCTTCCACTCACACAGTGTGAAGCGAGTGGAACAGCCAGAAGCCAAGACTTCCCGAAACGCATTAGATGTGGGGCTTTGAGGCCTGAGTGTCTGGGTTTCTTGGCAAGTTGGGTTCATGGGATCAGGAACATGGATGAACACAGATCAGGGAGTGCATGTGAGCATGTGCCCATGTGCATGTGTCAGTGTGTGTACGTGCATGTGCAGATCACACAGGGAGGGACATGTCCTGCGGGTGCCGACTTCCTGAGAGATGCGCCTAAGCCTGTGTCTGAGCCCAGGTTCGAGACTGCCAGCAAACTCCATCCCCTGACCTGCTCCTCCTGCCTCCTTCCTTTCCAGTGGCCTGGTTCACCTTTGACCCCAACTCGGGGCACCGGGACATCATTTTATCCAATGACAACCAGACGGCCACCTGCAGCAGCTACGACGACCGGGTGGTGCTGGGCACGGCGGCATTCTCCAAGGGCGTGCACTACTGGGAACTGCACGTGGACCGGTACGACAACCACCCCGACCCCGCCTTCGGGGTGGCCAGGGCCAGCGTGGTCAAGGACATGATGCTGGGCAAGGACGACAAGGCCTGGGCCATGTACGTGGACAACAACCGCAGCTGGTTCATGCACTGCAACTCCCACACCAACAGGTGCGCCCGCCCCGTGCCCTGCCCTCCTCGCGGTGGGGTCTGGGAACCAGGGCCCCGCGGGACCCGTGTTCCTTCTGCCCTTCCTAAGTTCTGGTATCGGGAATGTGGGGAGATGTTTTCAGCCACGTTGGTGTCCGATGTCCAAGTGGCTTTGACTCGGACCAGGCGGAACTGATCACAGCCCAAATGAGCGAAGCAGACAGGTTATTCGGGAAGACACGCCCAGGATCCACGGGATCCTCAGATGCAGTCTCTCCCTGGTTCTGCTCCACTTCCCTCCACGCTCCGCCAGGCCAGCTTCAATTACTGCAGGGCCGATGGCCTCGTGGCTGTGACCAGGTCCCCGCAGAGGGAGCAGCTGCCGCCCCCATGGCAGTTTACCTGGATCAACCCCTCTCGCTACCCCGCCTCCAGTGGGCTCTAGGCCTGGGCAGCGCCCTCCAACAGGGCAGGCCTGGGAGGGGCAGGCTCTGCCCTGGGGCTGCCCTGGGAAGATGCCCTGATGCCTGGGTCCTCCAGGGACCTGTGCCTTGGCCTTTCCTCAGACAGAGAAGGCAGTGGGTTCCCCACCCCCCATCACAGTGCAGTGTTCTCTTCCTCCTCTCCCCCAGGGGTTCTGTGTGTAGGCGCCGGGGCGATGGAAAAGCCTGGAGCCAGCATTGGCCAAGGACCCAGATATGGAGAGTGTGGCCACCCGGGACCACCTCCTTGCTGTGGGTCTCTTTCTTGGTCGACTATGGGTTGTCTTCACAACCAGGAGAGGCAAGGAGCCTCCGGGAGCCAACCTCACTGGGCCCAGCTCTGGGCAAAGCCGGCCCTGGAGGTTCTCTGTGCTTTGGGTCCACCCTCAGGTCCTGCATTTGGCCTTAGGGGTCATGGTCTGGGACAGAGACGTGCCCAAGAATCCCCAGGGGAGCTAGAAGCTGACCAGACCCTTTCCACCTGCCTTTTCACTGGCAGGGACCCCTATCTCCACACGCCTGGAGGAAGGGGCAGCTCTGTCCCCCTGCACCCTCTTTCTGGGCTGTCTGGGTGCTGCAGGCCAACCAGCCTCCTGTTCATAGACCACAGAGGGGACCAAGTCCGGGCCCACCAGCTCGGTGTCTGCTTGCTTAAGCCAAACCAGCACCGAGACGCACTGCCTGCTGATGGAATGATAGCAGGGAGAATTTATTGAGCGCTTACTTTGTGCCAGCCGCTGTGGGAAGCACCCGATTTACATGATCTCCTTGAGTCCTCACAAAAGTCCTATTGTTGCTGCTGTTTTACAGGTGACCAGACCTGGTCTTAGAAGGGTTAACCATGGCCCAAGTCACCAGGCTAATTGGTGGTGCTACAGGGGACCTTGACCCGGTTCTGCGTGTGTGGTGGGGGAGCCTGCACATAGAGCCCCCGGGTGATGGGGGTGTGGGGTGATGGGGTGCAGCAGGGAGCACAGGCCGCTGGGCGGTGCTGACCTTGGGTGGAGGCTGCACTTGGGTGGGAGGCACACTCCTGTGCTTCAGGCGGGTCACTACCGGCACCTGGTGGTCAGTGTCCAAATAGCACCAATGGCCTGTTCTAGTTCCCTTTTCCCACCTGCAGGACCCTGCCCAGGGGCCCTCTGAAAAACCACCCCTCCTATCAGCCCTGAGTCCTCCCAACTTTCCCACTCTCTGCCCCACCTTCGGCCTCCAGTCGGTGGCTCATTCCCAGTCAGCACAGGACAAAGAGCGTTTTCTTATCAGACAGAGGTCAAGGTTAAGACCCCGGGGAAGGGGAGTCCCTCTAGGAGGAGGCAGGTCAGCCGAGGCCCCCTGGAGCCTGCTGCTCACCTGATTAAAGGTGCTTCCAGCAAAGTGGGTATGAATGTCCACCGCCACGAAATGTAGTGTCACCGACATTTATCAAGAGCTGCACAGTTTATTCCCAAGGCTCCGCTGCTGATGGCCTGTGGGATGGTGACTCAGACAGATTCAGCACCTGTCCCCTGCCATGGCTTCCTCACAGAGCCCCAGGATATTTCCAGGGAGACCATTTGAATCAGGTGGGGCCCTTCACAATCTCCCGAGGGCCTGGCTGTCTGCCTCTTCCACGATCTCCACGTCCTCACTTGGCTAAAACCGAAAAGGGCACCAAGTTGGTTNCCACGTCCTCACTTGGCTAAAACCGAAAAGGGCACCAAGTCGGTTCTTTACCTCGGCAGGTAAAGGAGCCTTCCCCTCCCTCGTCCCTCCCTACGCTTTCAAGTGGGACCCGCTCATTAGAACCCTAACTCCCCGAGGCCCAGGTCTCAGATACCGTCAGCAAGAAGGGGCTGCATCGCCTGGTCCCTAGGGTAAGGCGCCTGACCTGAAGGGCAAGGTCTTCCCGCGTGGCCCCTTCACAGGTGAGCGCACTTCAAAAGAAGGATCATAAGCCCAGAAGAACAGCCCCCAACCACCGAAGGGCCTGTTTTTAGGTGCGGGTGTCCCGTATCCTTTAAGTGATTTTCCTGAGCCATCGCCTATCCCAGGCTAGGCATGGTGACGGCCTTCCTGGGGCCTCTCTCCCCCAGGACCGAAGGCGGCGTGTGCAAGGGGGCGACCGTGGGCGTGCTGCTGGACCTGAACAAGCACACGCTGACTTTCTTCATCAACGGGCAGCAGCAGGGCCCCACGGCCTTCAGCCACGTGGACGGCGTCTTCATGCCGGCCCTTAGCCTCAACCGCAACGTGCAGGTACCTCGGCCCCCCGCCCCAGGCCTGCCTGGCTGCTCCCCCTGCTGCTCCGGGGTGTCCCCCAGGGCGCTTGGGCAGAGCAGGCCACAGAGAAGCCCACTTCGGTGCCTGCCCAGGCAGAGAGCTTACCTTCGCCCGCCTTGGGCATGCTCTGGAGACCGTCCGCTTTGCATAAGTGCTTAGTTGTTCATTTGAAAGGAGCAGAGGCTCCTAGGCAGCAGCTTGGGGAGAAGCCCCGGAAGGGATCGGGGCAGGGGGATGGGTGGGAAAGACAAAGTGACCCCATTCTCTGGGGAAGCAGCCGGAGGAGAGTCAGCGCCCCTGTCCGGCGTGGACCCTGATGGCCAGGCACGTGCTAGGGCCTTTGGGTGGGGGTACCGAGCCATCCTGGAGCCATCGTGTGGCTTTCTCCTGGGAGGAGAGTCGGGGAGAGACCACTCCCTTAGGCGCTGTGAGTCCTGTCCTATTCCCCCTTAGCCCCTCTGCCCCTCTCTGGCCCCCGCATGAAGCAGGCAGGAAATTTGTCCTTATAGGGCTCATGGCTGGTCCTGGTCCTAGTGGGGTACTGATGGCTCAGGAGCTCCCCAGGGAAGGTGTAAGGGAGGGGGAGAAGTATGGAGGTGCCCTCCCTTGTCTCCAGCAGAGTCCTCTTGCCCCAGGGAGCAGGGGGTGGGGGCAAAGACCTGCTCTGTGGTGCCCGTGGCCTTGGATGTTGATGGTCTGCATCGACTCCTTACTGATTGATTTGTGCATCCACTCACTTGCAAATGGGCTTTGAGGCAGCCTGAGTGATGGGCTGGTAACCACAGGGTTAATGGGACAGGTACAGGAAAGGAAAGAGGGCCATGGGGAGAAAGTGGAAGCCAACAGACGACCAGTTCACCCACTGCAGCAGAGAGCCAGCCTTGCNCTTACTTTGTGCCAGCCGCTGTGGGAAGCACCCGATTTACATGATCTCCTTGAGTCCTCACAAAAGTCCTATTGTTGCTGCTGTTTTACAGGTGACCAGACCTGGTCTTAGAAGGGTTAACCATGGCCCAAGTCACCAGGCTAATTGGTGGTGCTACAGGGGACCTTGACCCGGTTCTGCGTGTGTGGTGGGGGAGCCTGCACATAGAGCCCCCGGGTGATGGGGGTGTGGGGTGATGGGGTGCAGCAGGGAGCACAGGCCGCTGGGCGGAGCTGACCTTGGGTGGAGGCTGCACTTGGGTGGGAGGCACACTCCTGTGCTTCAGGCGGGTCACTACCGGCACCTGGTGGTCAGTGTCCAAATAGCACCAATGGCCTGTTCTAGTTCCCTTTTCCCACCTGCAGGACCCTGCCCAGGGGCCCTCTGAAAAAGCACCCCTCCTATCAGCCCCGAGTCCTCCCAACTCTCTGCCCCACCTTCGGCCTCCAGCCGGTGGCTCATTCCCAATCAGCACAGGACAAAGAGCGTTTTCTTATCAGACAGAGGTCAAGGTTAAGGAGGCAGGTCAGCCGAGGCCCCCTGGAGCCTGCTGCTCACCTGATTAAAGGTGCTTCCAGCAAAGTGGGTATGAATGTCCACCGCCACGAAATGTAGTGTCACCGACATTTATCAAGAGCTGCACAGTTTATTCCCAAGGCTCCGCTGCTGATGGCCTGTGGGATGGTGACTCAGACAGATTCAGCACCTGTCCCCTGCCATGGCTTCCTCACAGAGCCCCAGGATATTTCCAGGGAGACCATTTGAATCAGGTGGGGCCCTTCACAATCTCCCGAGGGCCTGGCTGTCTGCCTCTTCCACGATCTCCACGTCCTCACTTGGCTAAAACCGAAAAGGGCACCAAGTTGGTTCTTTACCTCGGCAGGTAAAGGAGCCTTCCCCTCCCTCGTCCCTCCCTACGCTTTCAAGTGGGACCCGCTCATTAGAACCCTAACTCCCCGAGGCCCAGGTCTCAGATACCGTCAGCAAGAAGGGGCTGCATCGCCTGGTCCCTAGGGTAAGGCGCCTGACCTGAAGGGCAAGGTCTTCCCGCGTGGCCCCTTCACAGGTGAGCGCACTTCAAAAGAAGGATCATAAGCCCAGAAGAACAGCCCCCAACCACCAAAGGGCCTGTTTTTAGGTGCGGGTGTCCCGTATCCTTTAAGTGATTTTCCTGAGCCATCGCCTATCCCAGGCTAGGCGTGGTGACGGCCTTCCTGGGGCCTCTCTCCCCCAGGACCGAAGGCGGCGTGTGCAAGGGGGCGACCGTGGGCGTGCTGCTGGACCTGAACAAGCACACGCTGACTTTCTTCATCAACGGGCAGCAGCAGGGCCCCACGGCCTTCAGCCACGTGGACGGCGTCTTCATGCCGGCCCTTAGCCTCAACCGCAACGTGCAGGTACCTCGGCCCCCCGCCCCAGGCCTGCCTGGCTGCTCCCCCTGCTGCTCCGGGGTGTCCCCCAGGGCGCTTGGGCAGAGCAGGCCACAGAGAAGCCCACTTCGGTGCCTGCCCAGGCAGAGAGCTTACCTTCGCCCGCCTTGGGCATGCTCTGGAGACCGTCCGCTTTGCATAAGTGCTTAGTTGTTCATTTGAAAGGAGCAGAGGCTCCTAGGCAGCAGCTTGGGGAGAAGCCCCGGAAGGGATCGGGGCAGGGGGATGGGTGGGAAAGACAAAGTGACCCCATTCTCTGGGGAAGCAGCCGGAGGAGAGTCAGCGCCCCTGTCCGGCGTGGACCCTGATGGCCAGGCACGTGCTAGGGCCTTTGGGTGGGGGTACCGAGCCATCCTGGAGCCATCGTGTGGCTTTCTCCTGGGAGGAGAGTCGGGGAGAGACCACTCCCTTAGGCGCTGTGAGTCCTGTCCTATTCCCCCTTAGCCCCTCTGCCCCTCTCTGGCCCCCGCATGAAGCAGGCAGGAAATTTGTCCTTATAGGGCTCATGGCTGGTCCTGGTCCTAGTGGGGTACTGATGGCTCAGGAGCTCCCCAGGGAAGGTGTAAGGGAGGGGGAGAAGTATGGAGGTGCCCTCCCTTGTCTCCAGCAGAGTCCTCTTGCCCCAGGGAGCAGGGGGTGGGGGCAAAGACCTGCTCTGTGGTGCCCGTGGCCTTGGATGTTGATGGTCTGCATCGACTCCTTACTGATTGATTTGTGCATCCACTCACTTGCAAATGGGCTTTGAGGCAGCCTGAGTGATGGGCTGGTAACCACAGGGTTAATGGGACAGGTACAGGAAAGGAAAGAGGGCCATGGGGAGAAAGTGGAAGCCAACAGACGACCAGTTCACCCACTGCAGCAGAGAGCCAGCCTTGCCCGGCTCCTGGCCACGAGGGCAGAGTGGCACCAGGGCAGCTGGGTGGTTCATTTATGAGGAGAGAAGCACAGGCCTGCTCCTGGGGGCAAACTCGTGGACCTTACATTAGTGACTTGAGTGGCATCATAAAAGGCAGACCCACAACACAGAGGAGCTGCTGCCTGTGGGGACCCTGGCAAGCAGAGCATAGCACATGGCGACCGTGCTCTGGGCACTCAGGGCTCTCATGGCAGCCTCTCCACCCTCACGTGACCTGCCTTCATTTCCAGGTCACCCTGCACACAGGACTGGAAGTGCCGACAAACCTGGGGCGGCCAAAGCTGTCGGGCAACTAGCCCCCAGCCCCAGCCCTGCACGGGCGTCTGGGAGAAGCCCACCATCCCTCGCTGAGTTCAACAACCACGCGGGCAGATGACCATGCCACGGTGCCACCCAGAAGTCACTGAGTATCTTAGAGACATGTTTTCTTTGAGGGACAGAGGATGGGTCTGCAGGCTGGGCCTGCTGAGGCCACCGTCATGGAGAACACGGTGTATGTTCCCCTTGGTCCCGCCTGGACGGTTCAAATACTCACAAAGAGGACCTTTCTCGGGGGAGTGAGAAGTATTTGGGGTTTACGGTTGTTTCCTGCCATCTGTTTTCAGAGCTGGTCTTTTGGGGAGGAGAGCAGATGTTGAGAGGAGGGAAAACTTTGTGACTGGTGTCCTGAGAGCAGGAGGCAGGAGGCAGGAGACCCTTTGGAACCCACGTCCCAAGTGTCCACCCTTTGCTGGGCGTCACTCCTTCAGAGTCCCAAGGTGGCAGGTTCCCATCTTTGCCAGGAAAAGTTCTTTAGCTTTTTGGTCCTGGAGACTTCAATGTGTTCTCCCACTTGCAGACCTAATCCAGGATCCATAGAAAGGGGCACTAATTATTCATTTGTTCTTTGCCTCGTATTGAACTGTTAAGAGCCTTCTAAATGATTTCCTGTAGGTCCTTCATTCATCAACCAATCTCTCTCTCTCTCACACACATACACACTAGTCTGCTAAAATTAATCTACTCAAGTCCTTGGTTCTTAAACACAGAAGAAAACACTGCAATTGAAATTGGAATGACATATGTGACAAGTCTCCACCTGGTGGTGGCTTTTCTGGAACCGGCTCCCCAAGAGGTCACCTGCAAACCTGCCTGAGCTGCTCTCCTGAGCTGTGCCACGCTCAGACTCACGGCACACAAGACGCGAGACCCCGGGAAGCCTCTCAGAGCCGGTCCACCATTGCTCTGAGACCCATCTGTCACCATGGAAGCATCATGAGCAGGAAGCGGCCCCAAGGGCAGGGTGGCCCTCGGTGACCGGGCAGCAGGACCTCTGGAGAGGTGGGAAGTAGACAGCAATATTGCGTTCCTTGTCTCCCAGCTTCCCAGCACGAGCCTGGGTGTGCAGAGGCCGCATGGCTGGGTGGGGCCCTGGGTGAGTCCCCCCCACTTGCTGGGAGCACTAACCTTCTCCCTTGAGACCCACGTCGAATCATGTCCATCTCTCAGAAAAAGAGCTCATTCCAGGGTCTGGTCCTGTCCCCAGGCACTTTCTCTGCCTCCCTCGCCCCCTTCCTCTTGTCATCTGCCACCTCCATCTCCACCTGGAAGTAAACCTTCCTCCTTTTTACAAGAATATATTTTATCAAGCATTTTATTTTTGAGGTTGAGGAGTAACTTGTCTATTCGCTGGATTGGGTTTTTATAAAACTTCGCCCGTAAACCGGCACCAACTGTGTTTACTTGGTTCTAGCTGCTTGTTTAGACACCGCACTTGCTTTCTGAGCGACCCGGCCGACGCCGTGCAGATCCTGCCCTCTCTTCAGCAGGTCCGCAAATCCTACCTCGAGCCCCTGCTCCTGGACCACAGGCTGCCCTGTCCAGCCGTGGCCACAGGTGTGGGTGGCTGGGCCGGCTGCCTGGTGGCTTCAGGAGCTGTCTGGTGCTTAAGCCTCGCCCCCCAAGGTCCTGGCAACCAGCTGCCTCTCTTCTCTGCTTCCATGTTCCTTAGCTTCACTCCTTTGCCATAGCTCTGGGTGGACTCAGCTTGGAGGGTGGGGAAGATGCCTGAAGATTGGAGGGCACAGAGGAGCTACGCCTTCCCAGGACCAGCGAAGTCATGGCCCGCAGGTCCAGATGCATCGGCTTTGGGAAATGTCTTCTGGAAAAAATGAGGCCAGTGCACTGGGAAAAAGAGTGCAACTGGGAAGGCAGGGAGGGCTTCCTGGAGAAGGCAGCTTTTTACAGTGGAATCCAGATGAGAGGCTGGGGAGCTCCCAGAATCATCAAAGCTCTGCCTGGACATGGGGTCACCTCGGAGAGCCAGCACCTGTGTCCCAGGGAGATGTGGACAGAGGGAAGGGACATGCCCCCAATTTCAGGTGGCCTCTTTGGGAAGAAAATTACCTGAAATTCAGAGAGAAGCCACCAAAATGCCCTGCCCAGTCCCACCGCAGTCAGCAGACTGGGAGGTCCTGTGGATGCCTGAGTAGCATGGTTCTACCTTCTCTGTCGCCTCCAGAGCACAGAAGCAATACGGCTGATACCAGGGGCCGTGTCAGGCTGTCCTTCAGCCTCCTCTCCTGTCTTCAGCACAAACACCTTTCAGGGACAAAAATGGACCTAAGAGAGAGGCAGGTCCATGCCACACACTCGTGTGTCGGGGGATCAGCAACACGGAGCAGGGACCCATCAGCTCCTCGTGGCCTTACGTCACCCTCCCAGGAGGCCCTGGGAATCTCATCGGCCATCGAATTCCCTGTTCCTTTACACTGTGGTGACACTTTTGTACATAAAAATTATACCAAGATGATGCTTTTGTTGGGCAGGCTGAGAAGTAACTCGGTGTCCATCTGTGAGGCGGCTTCAGTGAGACGGGAGTTCCGAGTAATGCAAAATGTCAGGCTCCCCTGCCTTGTAAATTATGCCTCTGTTCCCTGGTTCTTCTGCAGTTTGTTCTTTGCTGGTGAGCAAGTTCAGTCAAAGTCTATGCCTTTCCTTTTAGAATTAATCTCTTTAAAAAAGTTTCCAATAGCATCTCACTGCATAGCCTCCTAGCTCCTGATTCAAAGGAAGGCAAGAAATTACACAGCCCTCCCCCCCCCCATTCTAACCAGTTTAGATCCCAGTAATCCCAACCCACGAAGGAACTGACCTATAAACTGGATGTGGTTCTGGGCTGAATCTTCGGCCCTGTGTGGAGTCTGTAGTTGTGACAGCATCCTCGGGTGCCCAGAGTGAGCCTGGGCCACACTGTGGACTTCACCCGGAGCGGGGGGCACAGGCCTGTCCATATGCTCCTGC